CTAAGGCTGATGTACTAGAATTCTAAAGCCAATGCGGATATATCTGTACTTATAGCTTAACCGTTAAGGAGACTGTGTGCTCTGACGGTATACTAAGATGTCTGAATTATTTCGATGATGTTATTAAAGAGGCTTACTTGCAGCTAACTGAGGATAGCAGATTAATTTGGTAGTCTCACCGAATAAAGCCGAATAACTCACTAAAAAAGTTCTTTAAGATGATAGCGTTTAAGACACTAACAAGTACAAAAGTTTTAAAAATATACACCTCGCGCAATACATAAGAACTCCTGGAGCTGCATAATTCCCCACAATAACTTCTATTATATATATGTAGTAGACTAGCCAGAAAAGATATTAGTCATGCCATATTTGAGATAATCAGCAATCTATATTTTGATATTTTGATGATTTTGATTTCCTTAATCAGATCGCTAAAGTGTGATACTCTACCACGTTAGCCTGTCAGATACAAATTGTAAAGTTCACACAACTTTTCGAAGAATCAGTGTTAGAATTAAATTAGCGAGGCAATCTTTTGCGCGTTAATTGCTCAATAGCCGTTCTCCGTTTGTCCAGGGTTTTCACTTTTAACATAAATGAGTCACTTATATTTAAAACTAGTGAATACATTACTCTAAAAGAATATATACTAATACTGTTTGTTTCTTATTTAGTTTTATTAAAATAATAGAATTATAAGTATTAAAAGGTTATTTATGATAGCATAAACATAAGTTTCTATGATTGTACATTTTTAATGGTTTGAAATCCGCGTTGTTGATCGGATATCAAATAGCAGGGGTGCGCCATGCAAAATGACTGTCTAACTATATTTGCTCTAGTTGTTGCTTTGTCATTTAAAAATACAACTTTTTAATACCATTGCTACAAGCAGACATATATTGATAAATATTTGCATTCCAATTTAATTAAAATTTGAACATTTTTAAGCATTTTAATAAAATTCTGCCAATGTCTTTGCAGTTAGTACTGTGTATTCTGCAAACAAAAAATTCTACATCGTAATTAATTTTGTTTTTGCATTTATTTTTCATTTTTTCCCGCCTTGCTTTGTTGACACCCTTCAGTGAAAGACACAAGGATATTTTGTTTTTGATGTGTACGTTTGATATACCCATAAAGAAGAATTTAAAAATAATAATATTTTTCTGTTCTAGACCCTGATTTTTTCGGATTACTCTCGCTAGTACAATTATCAAGTCAATTTTACGATATTTGTGCAAATGTGCCACACGACAATTTCAAAATAGTTTTTTCAGTCTCCAAAAATGTTAATGGGTATTAAGAAATAAAGTAGGGACAGCTTAGCTTCCGGATAAATCTACCTTTTGATCAATGGATCTATCAAGGGGCTCAGAGGCGATGGATGACGAATAGTTCACTTGATTTTTGGGCAATTGTAATTGGGTTAAACAGCATTAAAATTAACAGTGAAAGGAGAAACAACAATTTAAGGATAATTTTTTTTTAGGAATCAGCTCAGTCCAAACAAACCATTTTTTTATGTGGACATCAATAGGGACTATTAACACAACACGAAATTATTGTTATAGTTTTCAGCAAAATAAATATACTGTAGCACTACTTCTTATTTTTGCTTCTAAAGCAATTAAAACATTATGATCTAAAAAAGGTACAAATAGAAAAATCTTAACTAATTACATCATAAACATCAAAAGAAACAAAAAATTGAAATTTGCCAATGAAACAGAGAAAGCTAACAATTAAATTAATAGTTTAATATTTTAATAAAAGGACTTGATATCTGAAAAAGAAGCTTTTTGTTGAAAGCAGGGGAATACGGATTATCGTTACAACTTAAATATTATAAATATATTGTAAAGGCATGATTTGTGCATCTTACACATCTGACAAGCTTTTCTCAGTATTGCAACATCGGTGCCATTAGTTTAACTCTCCAAAATACGATTATGTCTACGCAATAACTTCCTAGAGAAGTTCGTTCAATTTGACCACGAAACTCCATAAAATAGTGAGGGTATCAAGAACGCTTTACAATTAGGAGCTGAGCTTGGAGAAAATGCTGCGTCAAAGAAGCCCTAAACTCTTCCCACTGCATTACTAACGTGATTATTTTTTATTTAAGGTTATTCCTAAATTATGTGCCTGCTTTGCTTTAAAGGGTCCCCATATCTCTGCGCATGTTTTCGATCCAAAAATAAAACGCTAAAAGAAGAAAAAGTAAAAAAGTGTGGTAGCTTTTAATTGATATCTCAATACGATGGAAAAGCCAACCTCTCTTAACAATGCCCCATTTCGTCAAACATCAGTACTTATTGATTACCTATTTCGGAGAGCAGGATAATAATTTCTTCTTTCAAAGAACTGAGAAATATAGAGAATCTTAAACACCGACAGCAAATGATTTGTGGAGAAACACAAAACCAAAGACAGTCCTCCGATTTGCCTGCGACGGAAAAGTAATAAGTTTAAGTTGATTGGATTCCTGTTTAAACAATGAAGAACAAAAAGTTATTCTACCTTTCCTTGTTTCTGAACCAACTCAATCCGATCCTGAAGCTGCGAAGACCTAACGCATTAGCCTTCGAGCCCAGGTTTTAGAAAATAACTGTGTTAGTGGTATAGGTTTATAAGTATAATACAGCGGGGAAAGTTGTTGTCTTCTTTCTGCAGAGTACTTTATTGTCGAGCTTTCTTTGTTCTTTTTGGTGTACGACAACGTATGGTCTTTAACTTCTGCAAAGCCGAAGATAACTTTTGTGTTATTTCGTTCTGGTTGCATTTAAAAGTTGCTGGCCAAATTCGACATCAAAATTTTGGTCATCCAATCTACAAATAAGTATCAAGACCACAAAAGGCTGACAATAAATTTCACCACAACGACTAAATTGAAAAACACAAACCCTAAACTAAAATGCTCAATACATGAATGGAAGAGGGTGTTTGCCACGCCCAAATTGTTACCCAAAAATCAGTGATTTGTAAATGTAGTGGAGGAGGAGACACGACGACGAGGAGGGGGATACACTACAATTACATTTCAACAATGAAAAACAAGCGCACAAAAAGAAACGATATCAAGATTGTCATGGATGTGGCAGCCATTTATACTTTTTTATATGTGTGTATATGAGTGTGCGTGTGTGTGTGTGTCTGCTGAAGTGTAAGTGTGTTTGTGAGCGCGCAAGTAACTTCCGCCAAACAGAAAACTAATTTGAACAAAGTACAACAAATAAAAGTGACTACTGAATGTTTAATTTGTAAAGGGAAGCAGCAGCGAGCAACAACAATGCCTAACAACTGGGGGGACACAACAGTGCAAATGAAAAAGCGAAATATTCCTATATACATACGTATGTATATATGTATATGTTTGTATGTATATGTGCATGAAACACGCCAATTGTGTAAGCAAGATTTGGTCGGACACGACGGACGACGGACGACGGACGCTGCACGGAGAACGGGGCGTTGGAAAATGGGAACGAGTATGCCACCGACAAACGGTTAGAAAAACATTCGCACATAAAAATGCTAACATTTAAATGAAAGGACATGCAAGCGAGCTGGCAAAGTGGCACAAACGATGTATGCATGCGCAAGTACATATGTACATATCATATACAGTATGTATGTGAATTTATAGAATGTGGCCGACATAATGAAATATTATTAAGAGCCACAACGTCAAAGCTGCGAATGATAAGAGTATCGAAATTTGTTGGAACTGTGCGTTCTGCCCGCCTCAAACAACTAGCCCCTGGTCCCATATTTATGCGATGCAAACGTGAGTTTTGGCTTCTGTCGCCGTTACTCCCATCTCTCCTGGCTGCCAATTTGAGCCCACTTGCCGTATCACACAAAAGAGGAAAACACAAATATCACATTTACAGCAAGCAGCACTCCACCATTTTATGATATTATTACGTACATACGACATACACACAAATACTGGTAGAGACTAAGGCAGACGTATAGTTATTGTGTTAAGTGGAGTGGTGAGAGGACTCATTCGCGATTGGGGTGCCAGTGCCACTGCCACTCTCTATTGTAGATTTGTTTACAACGTTCGCAATCACAGTTAGCCAGGCAGGCAGGCAGGCAGCTACCCATTCAGCCAGCTCTCCAGCCAGCCAGGCAGCTTCATCCCTTTGGCGTGTATGTATGATGATATTGCTATCCTTGTCGCTCCGTACACAAACAGTTTAAGCAAGAACAAGAACAACAACATCGATGCTGATGTCGATGTCGGCGTCGACGTACACGTCGTCTTCTGGATGCTGGCAGAGACAGAAGCAGCGACGCTGCTGTTGCTGCTGCCGCAGCTGCTGACGCTGGCAGTAGAATCACAGTTATTCGAGATACAAAAACATAGCAGCGCCGACAAAAGCTCATGGAAGCGGCAGCGGCAGCGGTTTTGATAAATAAATGTTTGAGTTATGTAGAAAAACATTTCGCGCGGGAAGATTTTCGTTTTCGTTGCGATTCAGTTAACATTTGGCAAAAGGATTCCGCCTAAAACAGACAGAAGACGGACAGATCTGTGAATGTGAACGTGAATAGTCATTCGTGTTGCGCGCGTCTCTCTATAAACTGTTACTGTAGCATAATTGCCGCCATGTCCATTTACAGTTAAACGGAAACGGAAGTGCACAAGAGCTGCATGTCTTTCCAATTTGAGTCTGTGAACAAACAGCGACGGCATCTCAAGCACCGGCAATAATAGTGCCCAATACCAAGTGTTATTTGAATCAAAATAAATTCCAAATATTATAAATATAATATATAATATAAAATTAAAAATAAAAAATAATACATAGGCATATTAATTGCATATTTAACAGTTCCTGAGCAATATTCAAAAAAGGTGTACGTCCTCTTAAGAATTAAGCACAATATTTTATCAATAGTGTCAAAAAGCGTTCAGAATTATTGCTTGAGTGCCCTAATCTAAATACCATTAAAAGAATATACAAACAAATACATAAATAAAGATGCACACCAGCACGGATCCCATGCATACACTACACGACAGTGTCTCACTATCACCGCCTCTCCACAAAAGCCAAAGAAACGGCTCATCCTCGCGTACTGCCACATCTGATGGCATGGCCATAGTGTGTGACGATGGAGAGCCGACGGCTGCCAGTGGCAGCGGAGACAACAGCAGTGGCGCCGGAGGCGGAGGACCGCTGGTGAAACCGCCATATTCCTACATTGCACTCATCACTATGGCCATACTGCAGTCGCCGCACAAAAAACTAACACTAAGTGGAATATGTGATTTTATAATGTCGCGGTAAGTGTAGACTTCCAAAAAATAAATTTCCTAAATACTCGTAGAATTAAATATCAAAAGTGTAGGACCCTTAAAAGTAAACTCCTAAAAAAGTTAACAAACATTGCGGAATTATATACTTAAACTATGGCCGTAAAGTTCGGATAAGTAATTGGTTTGCAAAGCAAGCAAAGAATTAAATATCAAAAGTGTGGAACCCTTAGAAGTCACCTCTAAAAAAGTTAACAATCATTGAAGTTCGGATAAGTAATTGGTTTGCAAAGCAAGAAAAGTTGGGACCGTTTTAATTTGTTTCATACACTTTTTTTTCAAATAATGAATACAATTTGTGTATTATAAAATAAAGTAAATAATAATTTTCACTAATCAAATTTTGAATAATGAAGTATTTTGTTAAATAAATAATATTTTTTAAATAATATCACATCATTTGAAACCTTCTTTCTTACGTGGAATGGCAAGTGACAATGTTTATTTGTAAACAATAGGTACTTTGTTTACACACCTAATTAAAAGGGTATTATTGATACCTATTTGTATTGTAGTGTGCACACATAAGGAGTTCTTAAGAGTGCACTACGTACAGTGTGTACTCCTTATGTGTGCACACTACAGTATTGAAATTTTGTTTTTTGCATTCGTAGTTTTGTAGTTAAAATTATAACGATCTTAACAACACCTTCTGCTTCTTTTTTGACAGATGAAATCTTTTTTTTTTCACTTTATTAAGTATGAATTGTGTGCAGATTTAGATATGTGAAATGAAATTATTAATTTTCTTGTGTTTTTAGAATGTTCATCCACGATTAACTATATTTGAATTATCTTATTTTAATTACCATTTACACGAGATTTGGTCATTCAAGTTCAAAGCCATACACTAATTCGTGCTCTATGTCTATTATTATATTTTTTTCTTTTCTATCGAATGATATATTTTTAATTTGATTCGGGTACAAAGTAGTTTTTTAAAAAAAGGTACATTATTTTGTGCCGAAAATCCTTGGGAAATTGAGGATATTAAGGAATCAAGGTACGGGACAAAAGTGGCTCCTTGGTAAAATAGAAAAGCTAATGTAAATGATGGATATGGTCTGTTTTTTTTTCTTCTTGTTTTTGCACTATTATAGCATGGCATAGGTTTTGAGTGATGCGTTATTTGCTAATTTATTGTTACGTAGTATGTTTTGCGAGAAGCAATAACAATTCGTACTCATCCTTAGAACCAACAAGTACCCTAACAGCCACTGGTGTATTAAAATGTTGATTAAAAAAAACATGATCAATATAAAAATTTCAATAAATCCAACACAGTGAGCCATAATAGTGAAAGGGGTGCCGACTTCATATTGCGAAAAATTTGTTCTACTAACTTTCGTTTTTTTAGAGGTCGATTGTTTGCCTTGTCACTTCTTCTGAATCATACATCTTTCTGCGCACTCTGGCCAGTAGGTCAATAGGTCAATCGGTTTCACACCTGCTATGACAAGTGCTGTCGATCGGTATGCACCTTTTTTCTCAGCGTATTTGTTTTTTGTACCAACAGCAAAATAATTACCCAACATTTAGAATGGCTGCAGAATGGCATTTTTTATATCAGCCGTCTCCGCCTCGATTAAGTTTCTGTGTTTGTTTGATTTAGATCATGATGAATTAATATTCAAACAACTTAAGTACATTCAACATAAGTAAATAAAAGAGCTTATAATCGAACAGATGTTCTTTCATTTAAAAAAGCAAACAAAGAGCTTCAAAAGACGAAAAGTCTTCATTGGCGCCTTAAAAAAAAAAAAAAAAAAATTATTTCATACGAAAAGAGCTTGTAAAATTGCTTAACAATAATAAATACGAGTATTTAAAGATGGTTTTATACTGTTCAATCTTTTCAGATTTCCCTACTACAAAGACAAGTTTCCCGCTTGGCAGAACTCAATACGCCACAATCTCAGTCTAAACGATTGCTTCATCAAAGTTCCTCGGGAGCCTGGTAATCCGGGCAAGGGAAATTTCTGGACACTGGATCCACTCGCCGAGGACATGTTTGATAACGGCAGCTTTTTGCGGCGTCGCAAACGCTATAAACGAGCGCCGGCCATGCAACGCTTTTCATTTCCGGCGGTATTCGGCACCTTGTCGCCATTTTGGATTCGTAAACCGGTGCCGCTGGTTCCGGTGCACTTCAATGTGCCTAATTTTAATGGAAGCCGTGACTGCTTCGACGTCATGCACACGCCCAGCGATGTGTTCGATTCAGCCTTACGTGCGGATAAGAAATTCAATTTCTTTGCAAATGCGGAGGCTTCGTTCTATCAGAATAACAATGACAAATTCGATCGATTGTCGTTCATCAATCGCCGTGCCGAGTCACTGGAGACGAATCCACACGGCAGTACCAGCAGCGGTGGTGGAGGTGGAAGCGGCGGGGCTGGTGGGGGCATTGAAGATGTGACCAGAGCAACAACAAAGTACAAAAATCCCTATACATTTGAGGCGGCCGCTGGTGCAGCCGCCGCCGCAGTGCAGGGCAGCAACGAAGCTGGCCCGGAGTATAATGAACCAGGAAGCTATATGGATCTCAATGCCTACAATGACACGGACGATACATCCTGCGACAAGATCGATGTGGAGAGTGCCAACGAGCAGGACTCTCACATATCGGACTCTGTGGACAGCGTATGCACAAATACGAATCGCCTGGACGCCGAGGAGTCATACAAGTCTGTAGGGCGAACGAATGGGGCCATGACCGACGAGAGGGAAGGGGACCGCGATCGTGAACGCACCTCGCCATATGGCTTACTATTCGATCACGCAGAGGCGTCCAATAGCTCTTTAATGATTACGTCCAGCCCAAAAACACCTGCTCTGGTAACCCATCTGCACAGTATCGGGCGTTATAAGTCCTCTATGCCAACCTTCGAGAGCGAGCCAGGCCTGCGATGTGCCAAGCAAAGTAACGCCAAGGACTTTCGCATCGAGACGTTGATTGGCCACGGCGATGACGCCAGTGATTAAAGTGATCCATACATATATCGTACTAACTGTGAGTTCACACAGTCAACGACAATTTTAATGCAATAACAGTTTTTAATAGTCTCTAAAATAATGGGAAGAACATGCAGCTCAAGAATGGTACAACTATTATTTCTAATAGAGAAAAAAACCAAGACACAAAAAATTGTGCTTTTACATGTAGACTTTAAAAATAGAATCCGAAAATATTGCCCATATTTTAGTATGGACTACTGTTAAGAAATTGAACAAATAATTCAAAAAATTTCAGTGCAAACTATTTGCTCGTTTAGCAAACTGCCGAATATAGTTTGTCTGTGTGAACTCACTTATTTTTAAGGGATATATTTACTTATCTTTGTATGTTTTGTGTATATGCCATGTAACGGTGATTCGTGTTTCAATTTAAGCGCATTTTAAAATTCTGTACGTTGTACTTATAACCATGTCCGATAGCCTGTAGTATACATATATGTATGTACGTATATGTATTTATTGTGTAGGAGCGCAGAAAACTACAATGCCAGTACGAAATTTTAAAGCGACCAAAATAAAAAGAGTTATTCGTGAGTCCACTTGAATTGTAAAAAGCTGTGTGTAAGAGTTAAAATAAAAATTCGGATATATGTACTGTAACTATCATATTTGTAGCAATAAAACATACATACTTTTAAAACGGAATTCTATACATATATCGACTATACTCGTAAATATGTGTGTGAGTAATTGCAGCTGTATGCCAATATGGAGCACAGAAATACCTACTATTAAATATAAAAGTGTACCACTTAAGAATTTCGCTGATGTTATGAAAAACTTAATAAACAATATGACGGAAGGTACGTGTTTAATTCGTCTAGCAAAACACTAAATACTTGTAGAACGGAGACTCAAATTACCAAAATTAAACACAAGTTTTAAGTTGTTTTAATAGGTTCAGCGAAACAAAAAATTAAATGAAAATTGCTTCATATCATATTTTCTTTTTCATCCAACTTTCCCATCAGAATCATATTTTTACATATACATATCACATTTGCAAATCTTGATTTTATATAAAACTGAAGTCCATATACCAAATATTTTTCATATAGTTTCCGCCAAATCTTCGTAAGTAGAAATTATTTGGACGAATCAAAAATATATTTCAAAATATAAAAATTGTATTTTTGAAATATCAGTATGATAAAATATTAATTTTTACACACATATGTACAAATATCCTGACCTGGACTTGATTTAAACTACTAGAAATTGTATATACATTTTTTGCTGTGCATAGTGTTCGAATACTTTTTCCAGAATGTCCTATTAGAAATTAAATTCCGAACAAATAAGGTTGTGAAAAGTATTCCTTTCCCAAATTAATATGTTTTTAATAGAACACAACGTAAAGTACCTTTGTATATATGCATAATATGTTACATAGATAATCGTTTATTTGAAAAAAAGAGAAGATGAAAGAAGAGAATGGGTGGTGGGTGTGGTTTTTTTAAATTAAATAATTAGATCATTTTAAAAAGATCTAATTTGAAAAATCACATTCATACATTTGCGTACTTCCGCTTCCGTTTACACTTGACATTATGGGCGAGCTGTCAAAACAGAACTATCAAAACAAATTGCCGCATGCGCATTGCTACTGATGGCTGACCGTCACAGCTGGTTTTAAGACTCGTCCAGGTTAGAGTGGGACAACATGCTGTGCATGCGCCGGGAGAAAGCTTTTTGCTGCTAACAAAAGCTCTCCGCTCACTAGTGGTAGCTTATTCCAGTGTTAAAACATTAAAAGCTATGCTGGAAAAAGGACAACAGTTAAATAGAAGATACCAACACTATTGGTATCCAGCGGTACGTTGCTGCGAACTTCATTTGGCATAATTCCCCACACACACTCACACAGCAGAAAGTCGATTTTTCACCAACAAAATCTTGTATATGTGCAAAAGATTTCAATATATCCTAAAATTAAATTCAAATACGCGACTCTCAGAATACCAGAATAAAACAAGTGCAAATCATGAGCAAAGAGTTTGCAGTTTAAGGCAGTGTGTGGAAACTCATTTGCATTTCTCTCTGGCCACAATGCTGAGCTCATCGCAGTGAAAAAAGTAAAAGCCATATAACAAGTCCTCTAGGCAAGTGTCGCCACCGCTGCCGCTGCCGCTGCTGCTGCTGCTGCCGCCATCGTCGCCACCCTCGCGTTGGCAGTTGGGGCGAAACTTGGCCGTTATTTGTGATGTTTATGAAGATGTTGATAATGATGAGTGCAGAGATAATGCGTGCCAGTATATGTCTAAATGGCTGCTGCTGAGCGGCAGCTTAAGGGCTTCACAGCCAGCATGACTAGCACGGAAAGCCTGCGCCTGTTAACGAGCAACGAATTACGCGTTTGCCTGCCAAGCGCCGCAATTGCGTCCAAGCAGCAACAATTATCGAACTAAAGCAGCATATACTTACACGTAAATAAATAAATATTGAAGAAAACAACGTCCAGCACAACGATTACCGTTACGGCTACGACTACGGCTACGGAACATCCAACACGACCACGACAACGACCACGCCGACGCCGCAGGATACGCAGACTAGGACGGGCACATGGCGAGCTGGAACATATTGTGCGCAACGCTGCTGGCCTGGCTGACGTTACTTACGGGTAAGTTGCTCTTGGATGTTGTGTGCCCTACATACTAATCCTCGAAATTGGCATTCTCCTACCGACAGTTACCCACACGGTGCGCATCACAAATCTAAGAGTGCCGCACACCTATACTCTGGAACGTGATAATGAGCCCGATCCCCTGATACTGGACTGTGAATATGAAATAGGGCCACGTGAGAAGGGCTTTGTGCTCAAGTGGCTATTCAATAACCACTCCATTTATCAATGGATACCCTCGGTGAAGGGTTTTGCAATGGTGAGTCACCCATGGGGGATGGGGGATGGGGGAAGTGGAGAAAGGCACAAAGGAAAGCTAAAGCACAAAGTCAAACAAAGTCGGCGTAAAATTAATTAACATAAAATTTGTTTTCTTGTCTCCGCCTCTTCGTTTTTATTTCCATCGCCTATGTAGGGCTTCATGAAGTCAAAGATAGACACCAAAATATTCACCATGGAGGGCAGTCCCGGTGTTATATCGATAAAGAATCCGGACTGGAACATGACGGGGGAGTACACATGTGCGGTGCAGACTTTCGAGTCGACGGATAAGCGAAGTGCCCGTTTACAAATAATCGGTATGTGTCTATGTTTAACTCGCCCCCGCCAACCCCGCCAACCCCATCAACTCCTACAACAACAATCACTTCTTGCCTTTGCCGCCCCCTACCTCCCCTCCTCGCACACACTCCCTCAGTGTGTGTGAGAGAGGGTGAATGAGTGTTATGTTTTTTATGGCATGGAGGTGTTTGCATAGGTGTAGGTGTTATTATGTGACTGTGACTATGACAAGTGTGTGTGTGTCTGTGTGTGTGTGTGTATGTGGGCGAGTGTTTTTGAGGCACGTGCTCATATTTGCATGCGTGTCATATGGCAGTCGCAGCGGTCGCTTCTCCAACCCACCCACACACCCAACTCACATACCCATCGCCCATTGCCTATACTCGCAGACCAACAGCCTGTTGTTGTTTTTGATGTTTTGTTTTTGTTTAGTTTGACACTTGATTAATTCTCACGATATTTTGTTGTGATACCCTTGCAAAGAGTATTTCGCGAGTATATGCTTGCATATTCGCAACGCCCAGAAGGAGGCATGGGACACATGCATATAGGCATATAAATGATCAGCACGACGAGACAAATCCGTAAAGCCAAGTCTACTTGCTCGCCTGTCCGTTTCCATGCAAACAAGCCCCTGGAAATATTGAAAGTAGGCTTATCCTTTCCTCAAGCATATTTCAATACAGTCGATTGGAACTACTACTGACTTCCACGTACATATGTACATATATCAAAGAAACGATCGGCAGCTTGTGCAATAAATTCTTGAATAAAACCAAATGGGTCCTATTAAGATATACAGGGTGTGCCATCTTTTATGTCGGTATGCACACATTGAATATCCTTGAAAATAAACAACCGATTTTCAAGTATGAGATATTTTTATTTAATTTGGCTCTGTACAATTTCTTGAACTGAGGTTTTCAACACTGGTCTACTCAAGTCAATCGGTTCACTAATGACAAAGTTATTCAATATCTACATACCGACATAAAAGATGGCGCACCCTGTAGGATATACATACATAATACTTTTTCGTTTGTAAATGAGCGGTAAGTCTATTTGAAAGCGTATTTGCAAGGGTATACAAGTTTCAGTGCATCCCTCTCAAGCTAACATAGTATGCACTTTCTTTTTTTTATTATGGCTGCCCTTTGTTACTATTTTTTTTTCTTCTTTCGAACACAGTTCCTGAATCGGATTTCATGCTGGAGGCGCGCATGGGTGGCGAGCAGACGGACGTGGACATTATGTGCGCGGTGCAGAATGTATTTCCACAGCCGGTACTATCTGTCATGTAAGATACTATATATACACACACATGCATACATATGTATGTATCTACATATAAGCCAATTAGTGCAGGCTATGCCTGATTTATGCTTATCTGACCCGTATCTGACCACTTACCATCATATTTTCCTCTCTCCACCGAGCAGCTTTGATACGCACATCCTTGACTCTGTGCTAACGCAGTTGGATCAAAATCCCAGCGGCCTATATAGCATGACAGTGCGAACGCGCATTCCTAGAGATCAACTAGAATCCCCCACACCGATTACTTGTGCGTTTTTCCTGCTCGGCACGAATTACACTAAGCGCAGGGAGACTATTTTCTATGGTAAGTAGAGGTAAGCGGGCCCGCGTCAGCTGCCTCTTGACCCTGCAGTATATGGCTAATGGTGGATACCTCTTCTTTTTTGTAAAATGAACTTTTCAGATAAAGCCACAAATATACAACGCAAATGGACAACAGTTGCCGTAGTTATGTCGATCGCATCTTTAGCTTTAAGCAGTTAGTTTGGTAGTGGTGTAGGCTATTTGTTTTTATGTTCGATTAGGATGTTTCCTTTTCATTTTTACAATGATTATTATATATGTATATTTAATAGAATTTTATCGATAAACGTAATTTTTTGCGGTATTTTTAAAAAAGCGCTTATTTTGTAAATGCATGTAAATGTAAGTTGAATAACACATGAGAAACACACAAACAACAAAAACAAAACAACAAACACTTGCAGAAAAAAAAAAACAAATTATTATATTCATATATTTACCACATAAATAAATAAATAAATATATATATAAATAGTTATGTATGATGTATAGGTCTAATTGAGTACTGAAACGCTAATAAAAAATATAAAAAATCGAAAACATTAAAAGTGCATTAAACGAAACATGAACTTCTATTTAAAAGGATGACGATACAAATCTAAAAAGATTCAAAACGTAAGTAGTAAGATATTTAAATTCTCGAAGGCTGCAAAAAAACCACTCCTGCCTACAAATGTGGACATTATATTTTTTTTAAAATACTTCATATTTGAATAAATGGAATAATGTCAATTAGCACATGAAAAAACATTTATTTACATTTCAAGTTCTGTTCATTCTATCTTAAGAATGGATTGTTTGTGCTTGGAAATTAAAAAAGACTGAATCTTCTGCTTGATTTAATATTGTTTAAATAAATAATTACCTAGTAATAAGGACATGATTCTGTCTTATCTAATATTACATTACAATTCCAGGAATGAATTCCATTTTTTTTAAAGTTTAAAATTCCTTTTGTTGTTATTAGTTATTAGTTGGGCGGGTATTGGTATTTCAAATAATTGTTCACTCTAACTGAACATAAGTTCAGCAAACTAAGTACTATCTTAAGAAAAAAGGTAAAGTACGATAACAATGCGAAATGCAACAGTGTGTTGTTGTGAGAGTGCAGCCCTGGTATGTTAGCACGAGTATACCAAACTTCCAATGCTTTTGCTTTCCAGTGCGCCTATAAGTATGCAGTGAAAATGACAGCAGAATCATCATCAGTAACAGCAGCAGCAGCAAAATCAACATCATCGCGAACTACTCACACAATATAGCGTCGACAAAGGCCAGACAGACAGACAAGCAGACAGAGAGACAAAAGCCAAGGTTTCTGCTTCCTTGGCCCATTGATTGAATGGGATTGGATAATCCATTCAGTCAGTCGGACAGAACACGAGCACAATTAAGAAACAAAATTGAAAACGAAATAGCTCTACACGAAAACAACCCCTGCAACACATCAGTAGCAACAGCGACAGCAACAGCAGCAGAAGCAGAAGCAGCAACAGAAGCAACAAAATCAAAATGTCCTAGTAAAGGCTTGCCAAAAAGAGTGAGGTGTAATTTTTGAGCTGAACATCCAATGCGGCAGCATGGCTTCGGGCGACGGCGACACCATCAATACCATCGACATGGATAGCTCCTCAACATCGCAGGCGAAAATGGCGGAGCAAAGCAATGGTAAATATAAATACATATGTCGAAACTGATTTCAGATTAGAGGCACCCCAACGAACGAACGTTTGCCGTAAATTAAAGTCATTTGGGCGTGCATAATTAAAATCGTCTACAAAGCTTTAAAATATTGTCTCAGATAACGCCTATAAGAAGGAAGAAAAAATCAATGAATGTCATTTTCCGTGTGTAAGTGTAAGCGTAATGGAAGCGGACCCGTGGCGCATGTTTTTCGAATGTAGAATGAAGAAGAGCAACAGCCCCAACGATATCGAACCACCCCCGCGTTAGAACGTGCGCGTTTATGGTTCACATTTATAATTCACAAACAAAAGAAGAAAAAAAAACTATAAAGCAAATGAAAACAAAGGAAACTTTCATATCCATTTATGGCCGGCAGGTCATATGTGAGTTTATGTGTGCGTGTGCGTCTAGTCTACGTAGTAGTTGAACTCTCAAGTTCAAGTTTTAGGACTTGTGTTATGGTCATTCGTCGTCTATTTATGTGTCCTGCATACTAAATTAAATATATGTATGTATGTACTCCGATGCTCGTTATTAATAATACACCCTATTATTTCTAGCCTCCACCGACCATGTGGGTAACTCATCGCCAGACGTGAGTAAAAGCCCGAAAAGTATTTCCACATAAGGTGCGATAATTAACATTTAACATTCCTGTGCTTACAGTTGGGCAATCGTCCTTTGCGCTCGGTCAACAAAGCGGACAAGGAGCGCAAGATTGGTCACAGACGGGTTGGCGAGGGCGGTGAGATTACCTATAAAAAGATACAAACTTCGCAAATAATGGGATCCATACAGCTAGGCATACAGCACACTGTAAGTTACAACATCTATAGATGAATGAAGCTCTGTGAACCCAACTTACAACTTGGCAGACAATTGTCCTTGGCTTTGCAACGCAAGTTTCAATGAAAGAGTTCACATTCAAAATGGTTGATCCAAATCAGAGGCTCGTACTTAAAGCAATCTCTGATCCATCACAGCAATATAAAAGACAATGGTGTTTTGTTTTGAAAGGCATATAGATGGGATGATTTATTGATTTCTATATGTCGCACGATTCTAATGATAATTCATTTTCTATCGCTTTACAGGTCGGCAGTTTAGCATCGAAGCCTAAACGTGATCTACTTATGATGGACTTCTGGGAAATCGAAAGCATTACATTTCCGCCAGAGGGTTCTAGCCTTACACCTGCCCACCATTATAGTGAATTCAGATATAAGATCTATGCGCCTATAGCTTTTCGTTACTTTCGTGATTTGTTTGGCATACAACCAGATGATTTTATGGTATAGAATTGAAATTGGAATTATTCGTTTCAACATTTTTGAAAATATCTCGCTTTCCGTTCCCATTTTCAGATGTCTATGTGCACTTCGCCGTTGCGCGAATTATCGAATCCAGGTGCTTCCGGTTCAATATTTTATTTAACGGACGACGATGAGTTCATTATTAAAACAGTACAACACAAGGAGGGCGAATTTTTACAAAAACTACTGCCTGGGTGGGTAACAGGATCGCCATTAAAAAAAAACCCAGCCCTATCTAATTCAACTTGAAACTGCACTTTCAGCTATTACATGAATCTGAATCAAAATCCGCGTACGTTATTGCCGAAATTCTTCGGATTATACTGCCTGCAAACGAGCAACGCCAAAAACATTCGTCTGGTGGTGATGAACAATTTGCTGCCCTCCTCAGTGAAAATGCATCTGAAGTACGATCTAAAGGGGTCGACGTTTAAACGTAAGGCATCGAAGGCGGAACGTGCTAAGAAATCACCGACCTACAAGGATTTAGATTTTATGGAACAACATCCGAATGGCATATTCCTGGAGGCTGAAACTTACTCGGCGCTAATCAAGACCATACAACGTGATTGCACGGTACTGGAATCATTCAAGATTATGGACTATTCGCTGCTCCTGGGCGTTCACAATCTGGATGTATCGATGAAGGAGAAGCTGACCGGGCACAAAAAACCAGCAAGAGCCCCACTGGCCGAGGATTCGGATGTGGACGAGCCATTGGATGCATTAGATGGAGAGTGTAAGGAGCGTGACACGGCCATGGGCATTAGTCGAAATAAGTGAGTATCCTTTCTTCCACGTACTTCTGACTATCCACCTTTTGCATGCTTAAAACCTGACTTTGAATGCTAATCTAGTATGGCATATAGATCGGTGAATCGACAACGTTTGGTGGCACACTCTACAGCCATGGAGAGTATACAGGCAGAGAGCGAACCCATTGACGATGAAGAGGATGTGCCGTAAGTTATATTCGTCATTTCATAGTCCTTCCTATAGGGTTTCTATGCTGTTCCTCTATTTGCACTTAGACCGGGCGGTATACCAGCACGCAGTGAAAAGGGGGAACGCCTGCTGCTATATATTGGCATCATAGACATTCTGCAATCATATCGGCTGAAGAAGAAACTGGAGCACACATTCAAGAGTATCATACATGATGGAGTAAGTTGTTATTATACGAATACGTCTACAAGTATATATTGAACGTTCAAAACTGATGGGCCTTTTTGGAATTTTGCAGGAAACTGTTTCCGTTTGTCGACCTTCGTTCTACGCGCAAAGATTTCAAAACTTTATGGCTAAGACCGTTTTTCGGAAGATACCTTCGCGTAAGTCTGCAGGCTGTCGTCGTTGGGCTAAGTACAAGTACTATAAAGCATTTTTGTGCAATTGGCAAAGTACCAAGACAAATGCGTCAGCATCAGCGCCACCGCCAGCGCAGTTTTTTGCGTAGTTTAAACACAAAATTAATTGAAGGCTCACACACCATACACCACACACCATACACCACACACCACACACATACCATACATAAATACTACTACTTATAATTAATCCATTTGTATATGTTGTAACAGCACACACTCGCGTATCTATAGAGTATCTATAGTATGTACTCGTAGCTTTTGCTATAATACGGTTCGATATACATACATACATATGCATAGTACATACATAAATACGAGTATATGCAGCAAAAATGCAATATAGTACACACTTGGCCTTCTGCGCGCTCTTGTAGTCCAAGAAGTCACTCGATCGATGTACGAATTTGAGTTGGATGAGAGTTGAGAAGTTAATGCAAAACTCACTATAACGTATATCCAAACTGCTATTCTCTGCTTTCTTTCCAATTTTACTTTATATTTTTCATTACTTAATTGTACGCATAGTGGATCTCCCAGAGATCAAAGGAAATCACAGAAAATTTCGTACCTTGGTCACCAGCTATATAGGTAAAGAAACCAATGAGAGTGAAAAACCAATCTGAGTAATGTTTTTAAATAATCTGTTCAACAGTGCGGACATTGTTCGAATTTCAAAATTTATATGCAACTAATTCGAAGAATGCCCGACACTATGATATTTTCAAATTCTTTTTCGCGAATTCTTTAATAATTTATGTATTATCTGTATTGTATAGTATTTAAATCTAAATATGTTTCCACCTTGGTTTTATAATTTATGCACTGTCGGTTGACGAAACGGACGCAAAGCATGCCTCGCAATCTCACGTTAGTGTTAATCATATGTCATATAATTAAGCGATTAACGACGAATCAATTGAAATGAGAGCGCTATGTATCTCTATCTCTTTGGCTTTGCGTAATGGCTTCTGAAGCTGTGCTTTTTTTGTAGACTGCTCCAAAAATGAATACCCACGATACTAATTACAATACTTGAACAATAATTGCAGCTCTCAAGCATTCGCCCTCGAAGAGAAAGAGCCTCTCCAAGGCCATTCAACGCTCCATCGACAGCGAAGGCGAATCGACGCGACGTAAGTGGAGCCATAAGTCATAAAGACCACAACTGATGTGCTCTCTGTTTCCCACAGCGATGCACGCTTCACACTCCCACAGCAGCGGCAAGATTCATCAGCACACCAAGATGCCAACAACGTCCACAGACGCGACAGCAGCGACCACCGCCTCCAGTGGAGCAGGCGCCACAGGCACATCTTCGAGTAATGGGCCACCACCTGTTAAGCAACGCACGCCCACAGCAACTACATCCTCATCCTCCACACTGAAGGCTCGCGTTCCACCACCAGTGCCACCACGGGGCTCTCCACGACGCAGGGACGCCGACAGTGTTAGCGGAAGCGGAGGCGGTGGCATTAGTCGGACCCATTCGACGCCAGGTATACTAGCAACTACTGTTAACTTCACTAAGCATAAGAATACAAGTCCAGAACACGGTAACCCGGTAAACATAAGCAAGTTCAGCAGCCAGTTTGGCAACACGCTGCAGGTACAGGGCGACGAAATGCCGCGTTTTGGCGATCGCCGCTCCCCCAGCAATGTCCAGGATTGGCTGGAACTGCACGATCTATTTGATATTAATGACTCGGCAACGGCGACGGTAACGACAGCAGGCGGTCATGTTCCACCTCTTCGTAGGCGTGAGTCCTTGCAGTCGATCTTCTCTACAGCCTATTCGGATGCTCGTTCCCATAGCACCCATAGACGGGAGCCGCGTCTGTTGAATCATTTGGATATATTTCAGCGACAGAATAGTTTTATGGCTCGCAGTGAGCGATCATCGGTGGGTTCCATTGTGCGTGGCTTTCCACCCATTAAGGCCGAAAGCTTTTGCACCGCCCGCTCCACGGGCACTGCAGCCATGGAGCGCTCACCTCGACGCTCCCGACAGGGATTTGAGAAACGTAGTCGTTATCTGCACTACGCAGATCTCGCCTTATGCGATGACAACTGCGATCCCCAGGAGGAGAATCTGCTGCAATCGGTCAATACGTTCCTAGAGGTTAAGCACGAGCTTGAGCGCCCTAGTCGGCAGCGTTATAAACGTACATTGCCAAACCTGCAAGCCCTATTAGGTACCACCTCGCCCATGTCGCCGCTGATGAAGGAGAAAGACGCGGCTGACCTGTCATCCGCACCACGGCGAAGACGCGGTAAAAGACCTGCCCCGAAGGCAGCGCCCTCAACCATACCGGAGAGCGTGGGCACGTGTTCATCATGTGTGGCTGCCAAGGAGATCTTTGACCAGAACCACACGCCAATCTCTAGCTCACCGAGCACGCGGCGGAATAGTTATGCCTGATCCTTGCTTGACATTTTGCTTGCCCCATTCGAGCTCATGACACTTTGTATTCTAAAGCACACCCTCCACCAAAATTCTCTATAACGATTATAATAAGGCAATTACCTCACACAGATCAAAGGAATTGAATGTATCTTCGGTCTTGAGAGGAAGTTAAATTTTTAAACTAGACTTCTTTATAGAGAAATTTGACTGTATATAGTATATACATACGTTGGCGTTATTCATTGTACATTGATTCCATGTATTGCTAGGCACGACTCCATCATGCAGTTCAACACCACCCCCTGCCTTCGACGACATCTCCGAGGACAGTTCGAACAAGAACAGCACATCGTCGATCAGCCGAAGGTCACATCACTATCACCATCAGCAACCGTCGCAGCACCAACAGTATTTGGAACGTAAAATGAACATTGGACCCGCCTATCGAGGATCCTACAAGGAGGACATAGTCAGGTATATACAATAATCATGGGTATATATTTGTAAACCCTGTACACAAAGGGGTAACAAATATACTACTTAGATAGCCCAAGCGCCATATGTACGTAAATATTAGTAAGTAAATATATATATAGGAATATATAATCAGCATAAATCATAGCTTGCACTACATATATATTTAAGCCACAACAGCTAGGGACCACCATTTATACCATATAGTACTATAGACTTAGTTACATTATTTTATATATTATTTTTCATAGGACTTTCATAACTAAATTCTGAATAATCCAATTAAGCTATAGGAACGATCTCTGAAAAAGGAAATCTTAGTGCCACTTGATATTTATCAGTACTTAAGCATAATATTTTACTAAATACAGTAATAACTCTATTTTATACGATAAGAGGAAAAATCGCAGTTGATAAAATAACATTTTTATACTCTGTTCATAAAATATACTCTACAAGTATTAGGCTTGTGCGAGCTGAAAAATGTAACAGGCAGAAGGAGGCGTGGCAGACCTCACAAAATATACATATTCTTGATCAGCAAGACAAGACGAGCCGATCTAGCCCTGTCTGCCTGTCTGTCCGTCCGTATGATCACCTAGATCCCACAGACTATAAGAGCTAGAGACACCAAATTTTGCACAAAGATGCCTTTTGTGTGTACGCTATACGAGCTTGTTTTATTTGTTTGATTTCCCCCCCCCCCCCCCCACTTCCCCCCTATGGGGGCTTTTCCGTAACGCCGTTCGTATAAACGATTCCAAATCCATTAAATTTTCTATATTTTGCCAACGATAGCGTCTCGGAAGTGCATCTGGACACATTTCTTGCCGTGGACACGTCATCGAGCAGTCATTATGGCTCAAGGGGTGGCCTAGCCTGGACACCACCAGCTTCAGGTGAGGGGTCAACACCAACATGGACAGAGGGCACTCCGAGTTTTACGGATTCCAGCTCGAGTGGTGATCTTGGTAATTGGCATTTGAAATTTGTGTTTGTATTGTCGGCTTTTATGTTTTATTCATTCATGGTAACTATCGTAGACAACTTCTCGCCCATAAATTCATCCAAAATTGACCGACACAAACCGACGGTGGAGGATGCTATCAACTCTCTATCCTCGGGAATGGTAAATATCAAAGATGTCAAGCCCTAGAGTGCCCTAGATATCTACTCATCTATTAAATTATTGTTAGTACGAGAAGTATCGGAATTCAGAGACACCGACACACGAATTAATTGCCCATTCATTTCTACTTGTACAATTACCCGAAAACAACTCACAGTTTATAAACATTTTCAGTTTTGTATATGGATTCTGAGATTATCATATACATACATACATACGTACATACACACAAACATACATACTATATACATACATCATATGTACATGCCTTGCTACCACCATTTCATATTATTTCTCTGTGTTGCATTTTTATAGATCAACTAACATAGCATGTGTGATGATGGACGATTTTGTACACAAACATTATACTGCTTGTTGAATAACGTGCGGATACATTTTCAATATAAACACGTACTCGTACTGGTATTATGATAATGCTTGCGTGTTCAGGTTAAAGCGGGCGTATCGTGATTGATATGTGCTCGTAGATAGCTAGGATATAATCAAAAGGCGCCCCGACTCCATACAGATACATTCCACATTGCATCCGTTCCGGAAACATACATATATACAGCAATACCATACAATAAACTTACAATAAGATATATGCAATGATAAGAGGAACATGAAAGCCCCTAATCCTGATCCCGTTCCTAGTCAAAACATATAGCTAAGATTCATTCAATATGAAGGCGGATAGTAAAGAGTTCGTTAGGCGTTTAAATCGATAATATTTAGCAATATATATATATATATATATATATATATATATATATATATATATATATATATATATATATATATATATACATATATAAATATATATATGTATCGAAATATACATTGAAATGAAATTAACGTACATACATATATATCTACGTATGCGTATAATCAGCAATCGCGATATTACAATATTGTTGTAAAATATTTAAATTTACAAATCCGAAAACCAAAAGCAAAATTATATACATATTAATAATTTAATTATATTTATGTATTTATTAAACGTGCTTAGGTTAAATGATGCGCACCTTAACAAAAATTGGTCAATACCCAACACACTAACCGACACGGACATGGAGACAGACACAGACATGAACTTCAAACAAATAAGAAAGAATTGATTATTTATTAATTAGTTGAATGTTATTTAACTTATATGCATTATTCTAAAGATTACTGAAATCCAATTGTAATTACAATAAATTAAATTGCAAGGTTGAATTTCCTCCAGTTGTTGTTTAAAATGCAATTTGGCTATACTAATACAAACAATAAACACACAATAATTTCACACTCTTACTAGTACATGGCGAGCAATTGTTTTAGATCCTTGTTTAGAAACTCATTGGTCCAGTCATTTTCCGGATTGTCTAAATGATTATCAAAATCAATGACGTCGCGCATTGCTCCACGCTTGAGCAGCGAAGACACGGCTTCGAGCGTTTGTGTTGATTGCGACAGAGTGTAATTGGCCTTTGACCAGCGGCCAGGCTCACCAGAACAATTGTACACGAGAAGAGCGGCGCGCTCGTGATCCAGCGACATCAGCCTGTTGTCAATCAACGCAAAGCACGCGTCCTTATTGTTCTCCTGAATCTTGTCTGCAATTTTTACAGCAGGTGCCCTTTCTATTTGGTTATCATAGAAGTTCTCTGCCGCCGCGTAATATCCACTAACAATTAAACCACTTTGTTCAGCGTAAGCATCGATCTGCAATTGGTATGGGCACAATAAAATAATAAAACGCATGCCAATACTTTAAATGACTACCCATCTCACCTGCATTAACGCGATCTCGGCCATAGGAGTGACGTGCAAACATTGATGAAAAAGCGGTATTGCGTCCACGATGACCACGGTGGAACCTTTGGGAGACTTTTCGCCAAGTAGCACCCCGTTCACAGCCAAGTGTGGGTACTTGGCCGCATGAAATATCAATTTTGTATAAGCGCGCTCGGAAATCTTGTAATCGCACATTTTATTTCAGTAATCTGATTTTTTTCTCACAAGAAAAGCTGACCTGGACTTGATGGACTTAATAGAATCAATTAATCTAATGGAATGCCAACCCTTTGCAGTTTATTGACAGCTGAATCATGTGGTAGCACTGTCGTACAGCTGATTATTAATGCAGTTATCGATATTCCGCAAGTGGGCGATAATTTTAAATGTTTTTCCTTTTTCTCGATTTGTTTTTATGAGAAAACTCTCCCACATGAAAAATCAGTCTTTATTAAATTTGACTTTTTTATTCCAAAAAAATTTAAATACTTCGTTTATAGTGGAAAACATAACTAAAATATAACATTTTCTTAACTGTCCGTCTGCATCGAGCTCACTTTTTTTATTATAAATGGTTTTCTATTTCATTTTTAACTAAACATATGTTGTAGTTCAGCCTGTCCTCAAACATTAGTTAAACCGAATCACAAAACTACGTCTGGTTGTCACTCAGTATTGCTTTGATGTCATCAGCATCCAGAGTTTCATATTTCAAGAGCGCCTCCGCCAGCGCTTTGTGTTCCTTTGTATGCTTCTTCAGAATTGTCTTAGCACGGTCATAGCTTTCGCTCAGAATACGCTTGATTTCGGCATCAACTGCTTCTACTGTATTAGGACCCAAGCTTTCTGCAGCCATCAAACCTTTGGGCGTCTCAATGGTTCGCAGCCCAACTTTATCTGACATGCCCCAGTCCTTAACCATATGAGTGGCAATGGAAGTCGCTTGTTTTAAATCACTGCTAGCACCTGAAGTTATTTTGTCAGCTCCAAATATGATTTCCTCGGCAGCGCGACCACCCATCATGGTGTCCATCATGGCCAAAAGTTGGGCCTTTGTGACATGATAGCGCTCTTTTTCCGGTATGTATGCTGTATGTCCTAGCGAAGGACCTCTGGGCATGATAGTCACCTTATGCAGAGGGTGTGATTCCTTTGTATAATAAGCTACAATTGCATGACCACCTTCGTGGTATGCTGTAATTGTATTGGCCTCCTCGTCGGGAAGACGCGCCTTACGCTCTGGGCCCATAAGTACCTTATCACGTGCCGTTTCCAAATGCTTCATGGTCACGGTCTCGGCTCCATCAATAGCAGCTCTACAAATATGCAAAAGCTGTTAATAAGTATCACTTTTGGCATTGAAAAAAAACGAACCTCAGAGCTGCTTGGTTGATCATGTTTTCCAAATCGGCGCCCGTAAATCCTGATGTACCACGTGCCAACATGTCCAAGTCGACATCATCATGCAGCACTTTTGTCAAATAAAGTGACAATATCTCTTTACGACCTGTGAAATCGGGCGTTGACACCATAACTTCGACATCGAAGCGACCTGGACGCAGGAGTGCCTGATCCAAATCGTCCCGTCGGTTCGTCGCACCGAGCACAATGACACCGGCATTCTGGTGGAATCCATCCATTTCGGATAGCAATTGGTTTATCGTCTGATTCGCGTATGGATGGAGTACTGAATTCGTGCGCTTGGCGCCAACCGAATCGATTTCATCAATAAAAATAACACACGGTGCACGTGCCTTTGCCGCCTCTGTAGATTTCGAATCGTAAAATCCATGAATTTGTTTTTTTGTATTGCAATAAATACTTACTGAATAGATCTCGGACACGTCGAGCACCCTGACCAACCAGTACTTCATCGAATTCGGGACCCGCGGCATGGAAGAACGGCACGTTTGCTTCGCCCGCAACAGCACGAGCGAGCAAGGTCTTCCCAGTGCCTGGTGGACCCACAAGTAGCACACCTTTTGGCAGTTTACCACCCAAATTTGAGAACTTGTCTGGATTTTTGAGAAATTCAACTACTTCCTTAAGCTCCTGCTTTGCCTCGTCGCAACCTTTGACATCGTCGAAAGTGACATGAATTTCCTCTGGATCGACCTCAACTTGATTGCCAAGTTGAATGCTACACAAACAAAAGTAATGCTTATTATCCGACATATCAAATACAATGCCTTGGCCAACTTACCGGAAAACAGATCCGTTTGAAGATGTGAAGAAACTCAGAAATATACCAATAAAAACGACGATAACAATGAGGGTCTGGAAAATCTGTGTGACATTTACTGAGTATTATTCTAAAACACTTAGGACTGGACTACATGATATGAAGCAATGAATGCTGAGACATACCTTCAGATACTTCATTGTTTTGCCCGTTTTTGGAGAATCATCTGCGTTAGACGCTGCCAAATATCCTTCAGCAAATGCAATTTTTAAGCTTTCCTGTAATGGCTAAATGGCCTTAGGAACTTTATAAGCAAGACTCAATTATGGGTTAACTTATTACCATGTTTTTTGGATCCCCATGCTCGCCAGTTTTTGATAGTAGTTTTCTCAATTTCTCTGCCTGCAGCTGTGTCTCTCCATCTGGTTTCAAAGGCGACCCCCCAAGCGCACTCTTCAGTCTGGTAGTCATCGTCGGGTTCCGTTTTTGTTCTGCTTCTATCGAACGATCTGTCTTAAAGCCGCGCCACTGTTTCCTATAAAAATTATGGCCACGTATTACGAAATGAATCAATGAAGGCGTTGCAATTTTTGGTACTTACAACTGGCGATTCGACAACAATAACGGACTTAAAAGGCCTTTCGTTATGGTTGGATACATTTTTCTGCAATTAAACTACAATTACGTGGAATGTTACAAACACTTTTGTTACAAACTTACACAAATGCTCCAGTGGGATGTGCTGCTAAGGCTTCACCACTTAACGACACTTCAAACTGATAATTTTGACCAAATTGTGTTGCTGGTTCCTCCAACGTGACACGCACATCTCTCATTGCGGGCAGCATGCTAGTGACTTTAGCCAATGCATCGCTGACTAGCTCCTTCTCAAAAATTCCATTCAGTCGGGCCGCCTTCTCCACCAACTGCTGAAGACTAAAACCCGACCTGCTGAGCAAATTCTTGAAGTCCAGCACGATATCATGTTGCGGCGACCCCGTGAGAGATTTGCATCTTTCGCTAAGTGCCCGCGCCGCGCTGCCGTTGGTCTGCAGTTTAGTTTTCTTAACAGTATAATAGTGCGGTTTCCTGCTAAAGTTTCCCAGATAGAAGGGCTGTCAACATGAACGGAAACGAAACCAAAAATCAGTGGGTCGTAGTTGGCGTGCACACGTACAAATTGTTCAGATCTATGTTGACTTACCACAGAGTGTGTGTTGGCGGAGAACATTTCCAAAAAATACAAAACTTTAGTTGATTACAATAATGGACTAGGGCGAAATTGAGCGAGCAGACGACAAGTTGTAATTCTAGTTGACAGCGAAAATGTCATAATATCGCGTCGTACGTGTTGCATCCCTGGTATTCTGTTCTGCGCGGCGCGCGTCCTACGTTAAAATCACTATTAATTTGGACTTTCTATTGACTGCAGGTCGGTTGTTCTTTCAATTGCTGTTTATAGTATATGTTATTTTGTTTATAAATATTGACTTTAATTCAAAAGAACAAATTCTACTGGAAACATAACGAAACGCCGCAAGTCGTGCGTAACGTGCCGCGTACATTCTGCTTTGCGGCTGACAGGGCTGCATCAGCTCGTTATCTGTAGTTTTTTGTCGCTTACATGAAATTCTTATTAGTAGAATAATTACAATAAATTTAATAGTTGTTGACGTAATTGAATAAATACTTTTGTTTACATTAATACTTATGTATGTGGTTTCTTGTCAGGGCTGAAGACTTACCAAAGAGTCAGCTGATAAGCGAACTTTTGCCGGTGGTATTTCACATATGTACACAGATATTTCCAAATTTAAGTCTCATATTAGCATTACATAAATAAAGAATTATATTATTGAGCAAACCATGGATTCTCCATTGAATGATCCACAAAGGCCACCACAACCTAACCAACATCCACTGGTAAGTAAGTTCTTACACCATTTTATTTGTATGAATATTGGAAAATTCTGTTTCGAAATCAGGCTGACTATCACTTTAGTCCGGAGGAGGTGCGGGCATTACGGGAGTGTAACACCGAATCGTTTTTCCAGCGATCCCTGCCATTTGGCACAGGGTTGGGTGTCCTGGCCTACTTCGGAGTGAAAAATGGCTATCTGCGTGGTAACGGAAAGTATGGGGCTGTGCCCAAAGTCATAATGGGCGTTGTGTTGGGCTACTTTGTGGGAAAGTTCAGCTACCAACAGAAGTGTGCGGAGAAGATTATGCGTATGCCAAATTCTCGACTGGGAGAGCTACTAAGGCAGCGACGCCAAGGTGGTGGTGTAATTAGCAGCATCACACCCGACGAGAGTTTAGGCCGCGCATTCACCCTCGCCCCTTTCACTCCCAGTGCAGACGTTTATAGCGACGAAGGCATGCGTGGCTCCGCCCTAAATTTGGACACAGAGTCTCGGCCAACTATCTCTGGCCTGGACGACATATACAGGCCCACACTGGATTGTGAGTATAGCGCCAATTTTATCATACGAGACGCATAATTATCGTATTCCCCACAGCCACAAACACAATGCTAGACACAGAGTTGCCGCTGGAGCCTGCTAAGCCGGGTCAGTCCTATGAGGATTTGCGCAAGAAAAATCGTGACGAGTTTTCAAAACGTCAGCAAAGCACATATTCACGACCAGTGGACCCGCCCCCACCAATTCGTCAATCTGTTCCAGAATCCGAACAAAGCTTTGGTGCTCCACATACTAGAAAGAACAAGTATGGTGATGCCTGGACTGACTAAGCAAATTATAAGACGTGTTAACTATGTTTCAAAATACAATAATAATTATTTGTTTCCGACAAGGATCAAAAAAATGCATACAAAAGTTAAAAATATGGTGTTGATGTTTTCACAGCGTCTTGGCAATTGTGATGTACAGTGGATTACGTAGTGGATCTCTGCCCTTTACAACTTTCCGACCTCGTGCAAATAAGCGCCCAAAAGTTTGGTCTTTAAATAGAAAAGGAATTCGATTACTCGCCACAGCAAAGTGAAATATTTAAAACATACGCCTTCAATGTAGTTATAAATGTCAATCTTCTCGTTCTGAGAGTGAGCGCCATCGTCGCAAGCTCCAACTGGTACAAGGATTACATTCTTGCCAGTGGCCTCTTGCAATGTCAGAGTAACTGGAATAGAACCACCTTCGCGCGTCATGTCAGGCTCCACTTTGAAGACATGTTTAATGGCGCGCTTGGCGGCCTCATAATGCGGATGGTTTGGATCTTCAGTCCAGGGCTTACCAGCTGACAGCAGACTGACCTGTGAGATTTAAATAGTTTTCAAAAAGTTTTTGGATATATGCGAAAATAAACTCGCCTTCATCTTGTTAGGTGAACCACGCTCTACCCATTTGCCATTCAGGTATTTAACGACACATTCTTCAATGTGCGCTGGGTCTTGGTTGGGCACCAACCGAATTGAAAACTTTCCAATAACCTTTTTAGGTATAACAGTTTTAGCTCCAGGCTCATAAAAAGCCCCTTCTATGCCGTGAATGGAAAGACTTGGGTACCGCCATCTGGCCATCAAAATTTTCGTTTTGTCCTCATTGTGCGGCAGGCGCTCAACGCCTACATCTTTTCTGAAAGATTAGTAGTTATTACAGTGATTTACGATTTGCGCACTGATTAGATTAACTAACTTGTATTCATCCACTTCAAAGTCAATTTTTTCGTAGATTTCTTGCTCGTTGTGTAATTGGGGAGCAATCTGTGACGATATTAAAGAGCTCTTAGAAACAATTCTAGTGATGATATTAAATAATTTTACTCACATCACGCTCTACTCCGGGCACCAAAATATTTGTATCCTTGTCCACCAAAGAGCTCAATAAATAGCATAAATCAGGCATAGCTTCATGGACAGTGCCACCGAAAACGCCACTGTGCAGATCCTTATTGGAGCATTCAACCTCTACGGTAAAGTAGACAAGTCCTCGCAGACCATAGGTCAAGCAAGGACGCTTTTTTCCCAACCAGTAGTTATCGGAGATACACACAAAATCGACATCACTCAAAAAGTCATTTTTACGCTGCATCAGCATGTCGTCAAGGCCCTCGCTTCCGCTCTCCTCCATGCCCTCCAATACGAATTTAATATTTATAGGCAGTGGAATATTTAATTTCTGATAAGCCTCGATTGCATGTATCCAGCAGAGAACGGGTCCTTTGTCGTCAGTCGCGCCGCGTCCGTACAGTTTGCCATTGACTTCGGTGAGCACAAAAGGATCAGTATCCCAGCCGTCTTCCTTGAGTGCAGGCTGCACATCCAAGTGGCCGTAAACCAAAACCGTCTTCTTTTTAGGGTCCTTGCCGAGTGTACCCAACAGCGCTTTCGGTAGGGGTATTTCCAGGCCTGTGGGCAGTGTCTGCTTGCCCAAATCAACCAGTTCGATATCCGTACCGAGCGCTTTTAGTTTATCTGCGGTCCAATCCACCATACGGTCGATTTCTCCACGCTTTTCGGGCCATGCCGAAACGGACTGTATAGCAACCGCTGTTTTAAGCGTATCAATATAAATATCCTTCTTGCTGTCCACAAAACTGTAACGATAAGACCAACCTTTACATATTTGTGGTTTTGGTGGTCATCATAATGCGAGTCCGATTAGATTTAACTAGAGTGACCGCAATAGCAGTGTCAAGTTCTAATCGTGGTTGCATTTTCCAATTCAACGCTAAACAAAGAAAGTAGCACAAACGTCTATTTGCAACGTTTCCCAGGTTGACAAGATAAAACGCAAATGCAAATCAAGTGCACGTACGCCTTGCATACAAATATTATTGCACGATTAATGTATGAGAGCTAAAAAAAATTGAATTCCCACGTATGGAAGTGGGCGCACTCCTCCTTACCCTTATCGAGCAAGTGTAATTCTCGATGCTGGTGTTTGCGGTTGCTGACATGCTTATCAGAAAAATGCAATAAACCCATAAACATAAACAACCAGAGATAAGCAGGATACTGATACTGACCACTGACTATTAATAACGTCCCCTTATATGTATATTTGTATGCATGTACATATGTATGATAAAATCATCCATTCTACAAAATAACATGAACTTACGCGAAAAGCTGCTCCAGCTCATTGGGTAACTGTGCCATCTTGAAATATTTATGTAGTGTTTTACAAAAGTGTTAGTCGATGAAAGATGTGCAACCACTTCGCGCAAATGTAATGATAGACTGGTTTTTACTCCTCAAATGCGCGCGCTTAAATAAGCGCTGACTTGTAATTTTATTTCTACTCGCTTTAACAAAAGGTGTTGCCACCTAGTTGAAAAATTTGAATGCTGCTTCTTTCCCTACGACAAACAAGTGCAATCGTAATGTCGATTTTATATCGAAATCTATCGATTCGGCTGTAATTTAGTTTGTATCATTATTGACGGTAAATTCGCAAAGCAATAGGGAAGTTGTAATTATGAAACAAGATCAAAGCTGATATTTGCTTCAAGAAATAAACAAGTCAAAAGTACGAGAAAGTCGATCGGAACCGCAACGAGTATTGGAGGCGGAGGTGTGTTCCTTGTTTATTAATTTAAGTTGTTTTGTGTCTATATGTGTGTTGTGTATGGGCTGGGAATGTGACTGTGTGTGCACATACAAAAATATGTGTGTACCTAAAAACATTTATGTGTCTACGACTAGATTAGTTGTGCCATATATGTATTTCCTGTAAGCTGACCTCAAATTGGAATCGAAGGACCTGCACTTTTTGTGCCATGCATTGAGTTAAACAGTGTGTGTATTCATTTTGGAGTCATTATAATAAATTTAGGCGACCAAAATAGAACATATTGCGTGTGGTTGGCACTCCAAATAGCAGCGGCTGCGGCTGCGGGTCGTCGTCGTCGCTGAGCAACACCATGTTTTCTTTGACTTCATGCCGTTGTCGTTTTACGTGTCGCTTGGTTATTGCCTTGCCTCGCCTTTTCCCCTGTTCCGGAATATAAATAGTTGACGTTGGCTCTTCTGTTTTTTGTGCCGGAGTCGCCCCTGTTGCTGTTTCTGTTGCTGCCAATTTTTGTTGCTTGTAATTAGTTCCAAGTTGTGTTATGTTAAGGGAATTAGACGTAGAAGAACCCGGGGGGGCTCATATTACATAAAAAAAGTAATAAGTTCAGGGAAACAACACCAACAACTCGTCGAGCAACGGCAAAAAGTTACCAAAGCGGAACTGGAAATATAGAGAAGTCGGTGCCGTTAGAGCTGCTCCCAGCTTTTAAGCTGCCGCCGACACATAGCACGCCAACAACAAATATGGTTAGGAGAAGAGAAGGGGAGACAGCAAGCACATCAAGCCCACGGCTTTTGTATACCCTTCACAGAAAAGCCAACGTGTATATTGTTTTTTTTTTTTTATATGATCAGCATAATGAGACGAATTAAAAATTCGTAGTCTGCCTGTGATTACTGTCTTCTCCAATTGCTATAGTAGTTACAAAAATAATATGAAGATGATCGCGAAGATGGCCATGGATGCTCAAAATACAAAATAAGTGAAAAAATAACAAATTATATAGTATGGCCAGAATAGTAATATGTATTGTAAGCCACAGTGAAGGGCATAAAGCTTCGGTGCAGACTCAGATAACTTAAGCTCTTTTTTTTTGTTTTGTGTTAGTTTTGCTCTTGTTGCTCATTTAGAGACTGTTTGCCGCTGGCTACCCACCGCTCCCCCTGCTGTGCTTATAAGCACAGTTATATATTGCCGCTGTCGTCGACCAAAAATAGCAACTACAACGATCTTGGCAGACAGACTAATGCGAACACACCAAAAGCTGCAGTTGCGCATTGTCTTTTGTTCAGAGCTTCCGCTCTGCAAAAATGGCAAATAATTAGCCATCGCCCAATCTCTGTGTGTGTTTGTTTTTGCAATTATCATTTATTGCTGCATTTCTCTTTCGAACTCTTTCCAAGTGCGCAAAAGTGGGCGTTTATGAGGCACGTTAATAAATTAGTTAGATAATTGTTGGTTTTGGGCTCATATCACATTTTTGTTTTCACTCAGAATAATTGCATTGAAATGTAATTTAACATTTTAAATTAAATACATGTGTACGAACATTTTTAAAGAACTCAGAGACTAATTTCTGATGGATCGCAGCTTGGATTCCATTGGCAGCTGTTCCCTCGATGTAGATGCCGATTCATCCGATATATCAGGTATATCAGGTATACTACCACTACTCTCATCTTATTCGACTGGCGCTCTTAACCTCAATTAACACCATTGATTTGTCACCTTTTTGGTTGCTTTAGTTTCTTTTTGTTTGTGTTTTTGTTATTTCTGTTAATTTTATTTATATAAATCCATTTTGATGTCATCATCGGTAACTTATTCGCTTCAACTGAATTTTACAGATACCAGTGGAAGTTTGAATTTTCCGACACCGCTCTCTGTGAAAGACATCACGCGCGAATTTACTGCGAACATACGAGAACGTTGCACGCTGCGCTCCCCGCAGCAGCCACAGTATACAACGGCGTACGTGGATCCCCTAACGGGTCAGGTTCGCATGGTGCTAACACCGTCGGCGTCCTCGAACGTGGAGCATAGCCAGAACGCTGCCAACGCTAGTCTGAAAACGGCAGAGGAGACCAGCACGGTGAGCATTAATATCGATGCGGGCCTCTACGAAAAGAAACCCAGCTATTTGAATTTGGCTTGCTGTGTCAACGGTTATTCCAACCTGACCACCTACGATTCGAAAATACGCCAGGACATAAACAAATCGCGTGAGGTCTCTCCCATACGTCCATCGACTAGCAGTCTCCAGTATTGCAAGAAAAACAACTCGCTGGCGGCCCCCGTGCTACTCACCATGCCAAATGCCACAACACCACTCACAAAGCAACCATCGCCCGGCAGCAAGTACACGCTGATTGAGACAAACAACAACAATAACAACAAGAACGGACATCATATTGAGAATGGAAGTGCGCATTCGCACAATGTCAGCAACGGCAGCACCAACGGTGATGTGGGTAAGCATGGGACAGGTTCGGCCAGCAGTTTTATAAAACAACGCGTCGAGCGTCTTTACGGTCCCGGTGCATTGGCTCAGGGATTTTACTCGCCCAAAAAACATGGACTGTCTCCCGTTTCGGCTCGTGGTTCGAAGCAAAGTCTGGAGGTTGAGTCACCACAAAGCACCGAGTTGGCGAGAAAATTCAAACAACTTTCTCCCGGTAAGGATTACGGTGAATTCCGAAAAAAACTGGACAACAATTGCGCCCAAACTGCCACAGCGCGTCAAACAGAAACGCAAGTCACAATTGGAAATAATGGAGATGTAGATTTGCCGGTATTTAGGCACTTAAGTCACGAGTTTCGGGCACAACTACCGACCGTATCGCCGAAACGTAATGTGTCGCGCATTTCGCCTGCACCAGAAGTTCCACCACCAATTCTTTCGAATGGAAAGTGCAAAAACAATGATGCAACTTCCACTTCTGTGGATACTGTTGACCACGAGGCCGTGCAAGTGCCGCAGCTGCGATCGGAAGAGTACATTAGTACAACCAAAATTCTCTCTGTCGAACCCATGCCGGCAGCTATTATCGAAAAAGATGGCAATTACTTTCTTAAAATACTCAAAAGCGAACAGTCTCGTCTGCTCGTGCTGGCCGCTGAAGTAGACAAATACACCGATGCCTTAACAGTAGGTTTGAGTTAAATTGATGTTTTTTCAGTTTCTTAATTGACTCTATACTTTTCACAGAACAATCCTGATATTACTGAAGATACATTTGGACTGTTGCGATCAGCCTCGGGCAAGGCACGTTTGTTGGTTTCCCAGAAAATGAAACAGTTTGAGGGTGCGTAAGAATAGAATAGTTTTCAATAAGCATTTTCATTGTGAAATTGAATTATCACAGGTTTATGTCACAAAAATCTAAACCGGTCACCCGAGGACGCATTTCCCACAACAGTCGATGATTTGCAAGGTTTCTGGGATATGGTTAATTTGCAGGTGGCGCACATTGATTCCATTTTCGCAGACATTGAGCAACTGAAGAGCAATGATTGGAAGGTAAACTCAACTCCCCAAATTATACCTAATAAGAGCTACTTGAGGCAAAACGAATTGTATTTAAAATTGTTTAGCAGAACTAACGAAATTATTTCCATCCTTGAACAGCGCAAACAAGATCCCGTCGAGGATATTAGTTTACCTTCAAAATCAACGAAACTTTTGAAGACTGGGAATTCAAAATCGAAAACATCGTTGGGTAATCAACCAGGAAATGCCAGTCCAAAAAGCTCAAATTCAGCTGCGGCCTTAAAACGGGAAGCGCAAAGGAAGCAACTACTGGAGATGAAACGTCAGCGTCGTGAGGCAATGGCTGCCATTGCAAAAAATCAAACAGCCTGTGATGGCGTTGTCGAGTTGCAAGATGCAGCTGGTGATAGCGTTAATATTGCCGTTGACAACAGCAGCTGAATTCTGCACACTGCTAATACCAATATAAAGAATATGCTCTCTAGGTCTATCTAAATAATTAACACACACATATAAAACATATATACATAATACACTGGTAGACAGAACACATATGCCTAGAAATTCCTAGTTGAATTAATACTTAACTAGTCCCAACTATAAATGCACACGGTGTGGAGCTTCTAATATTGCATAATTATAATAATTGTAAGAATGTTAAAATGTGTCACAAGGTGTCAAAATGAAAACAAACGACAAATTGGATGCATGTGCATCGATTACCCATTTTGTTATATTGATAGAGCAATCGCATTATTCGCATCATCGATTACAACGCTTAAATTATTTATAATGTTTGCCTTATATGCGTGTTTTTGCTCGTTAAATCTTTTAGCTACGCACTTTGAAAACCACATAAATTGTTTGTAATTAATTTTTCATACTTGGACTTGGACATACTTTCATACACCACACGCATTCAAACATATATATTTTTTAAATGAATGTATTTTACAAACACCTGGGAAAAAAAACAAACACATAAAAGACATTTATTTTTGTGTAATAGAAATTTAAGTACATGCAACAAGAGAAAAAGCTCACCAACGAAAGTGCTGCGTATTTATTGATCTTTTGATAACATTATTGATAAAAGAACACAATGATAAATATATATATATTTTTTGGCATATTATGTAGCTGCATGTAATGAGATTTATTTATTTGTAAGTTGAGCTGCAAGAAAATCTCACTATCAACTAATTTTTAATGTTTGTAATAAATTATTTTTCACTAATTTAGATGCAAGTTTTTTCATTCCAAGCATAAATTGGGGTTAATTACGGTACCCCTATATAAAAAGTCTAAATTTGTTTTCTATCCTATGCGGAGAACATTACACTGGCCCCCAAATTCGAGACTACAAATCTAATATTACTGAATTGCAGATTTCTGGCTAAAAGGTACGAAAATGAAGTGATAAGTGTTAACGATAGGCTCGGGGTCCTGGATTTACCAATTGCAGATAAATGTGCTGTAATGTGGGATTATCTTTTACGAGTCTATTTCCTCGGCATTGTGCAAATTTCTTAAGAATATAAGCGTAAAAATTATAGCATCGTAACTTCTATACTTGTTATTATAGAAGTTGTTTACCTGTTCAGTCCCTTAGAAGTGGAATCTACTTGTATTAATTCATTTTTATTAAAAACGAGTAATACCCATAATGCTAATGTGGGTGGATGAAAAGTAAAAACATTGGCAATTGTTAATATTTTTTAAATAATTTTTATTTTGGCTTCTATGGTACGACTTATGGTTAAACTATTGGTAAGTACAAATATCTCTGTTTCTTTGCTTCAATTTCAATTACATTGCATTGCTCATATCCTTGTTTCAGAGTTTCATTTGCGAAGCATGTTATTTATCGTAATACTACGACATACATACATAAATATGTATATGCACTATATTATGTTTATAGACTGTTTTGTTAAGCTAAATTCATCTCTAACTATATAATTTTTGCAATAAATATTTTTGTATATATATATACACATATATGTGCTTATATACACATATATACATATATATATATACTATATGTTTATATATATTTAGATTTTTATGTGTTGTTTGTTTTATTGGTTATTAACATTTCAGACTTAAAAATATATATTTATATATATATAATGCGTGTGCTTTATTCATATAGTATTATTAACAATATCTATAAGCAAATATATTTAAGATCTAGCACATATTTACAAATGAACGATAGAAACAACGTTTAGGGTACGTAAAATCTTTGCTCAGCTGAAAGACGTCCTATACTCAATTATAATCGTCTGAGTAAGACTCCTACAGAGACCGATAATGATTGGTATACGATAGCCATGACTACGTATTACTATGCTGAAACCCAGTCAAAGTGTTTAGGAGAGGGCCTGCGTGGGTGCCTTTATGCTATGCTAGAAGCAACTAGAAAAATACATATCATCATTATGATCGTCGTCATCACCATTGGCTATAAAGCGCATTTCAATAGACAAACCAGCTTTAGGCTTAGCTTCAGATTCGGATTCTGATTCTGATTCAGCCTCAGTCCCAGTCGCGATGGGCTAAGCTTAGGCATCATTCTCTACACAAATCTATGCGTTCTGTGAGTATGTATGAGTATGTTTGGATAATATTCGCTACAATAAAATCAAAAACTAATCGTTCCCATGCAGCAAATTCTCCAACGATATCAGAGTTGGCGAGCCTCGTCTTGAATGGAGTTCGGGTTCGATAGTGTAGGCGTTGTTCTCCCTGCCGCTGTTGTTGTTGTCGTTATGGTTGTTGTGATTGTTGCTATTGCTGTTGCTGTTGTTGGGCAGCATGCACAGCTGTTAGTCCATGCTATGGGGCGGTGTGCTGTTCGGACCGCCCAGCATAAACGAGGTCGGGCTGTGCACCGAAATGCTGTCCAGATCCAAGGTGCCATCGCCCTTCTCCATCATGCCGCTGCCATCTTGTTTCATCATCATGCGTCGCCATTTGGCGCGGGCATTTTGAAACCAAACCTACATATAAATAAAAAGTTGAAATCAGTAACAATACAACAACAACCAAAGTACACTCAGAAAAATGCAATTACATAAATACTAGATTTGCGAAAATCGCCCCAAAAATCGCTTTGAAATTTCATTTTGATAGACACAGATATTTAATCGACACGACCACTTCAGATCACTATATAATTGTCTAGAATAATAGATAGATTTTTTTTTTGTGTTTATTTGTAAAGATTTGGGAACCAAGTTGCATATTGATGGCTAAATGTCGAATATTATTTTTATATTTATAAATATTTATATTTATTTCGCGATTTTTGTACAATTCAGAGAACAAAAATCCAATAAAAGAAAAAAAAAAAACAGAATTGCTGCAGCACTAATTGGCATAACTAACCGATTATATTTGTTTATACTTTCTAAAATGCACATTTAAAAACGTTTTAAAATTACGAAGATAACTTATTTCACGTTTTAGAAATAACTTTCGAAGAACAATTCAGAGCGATTTCGGGATATGTTTTTCTGAGTGTAGACAGCTTTTGCGTCCACTCACCTGTAGGACTCTCTTTGGTAAACCAGTTTTCTGTGACAGTTGCTTCAGGTCCTTGGCATCCGGATTGTGATTGATGGCAAAGTAGGATTTCATGGTGCGCAACTGGTGGTGTTTGAATGAGGTACGCATGCGCTTTGTGCGGGACGAGGCACTCATATGGGAGCCGCGCCCAAAGTCCACATATTCGGTATTGAGATCTGCAGGGGAAAAATCAAACGATATAGTAGTTGCATGAGCTTTGCTGAGATTTTGATTTCGTTTTCGATTTCGTGTAGGCTGCTGCCTTTTTACGGCTGTGCGGATTTTATGGCGCATTTTTACGAGCGTTGCTGCCGCTGCCCAAGGATATAAAAAACTGCAGCACTATCGGCCGCTGTGGCAACAGTGGCGCCAGAGTTGCTCAGTCGGATGGATGGATGGATGGATAACTGCAGTGCCATAAATGCAGCAGCCGAACCATGTTCGCTCGCATTTATGGCCATTGAAATGCATGTCTGTGGCATTTACAGCCGCCCAGACACATTCTGCAGCTTCAGCCTCCACCAATAGATCGGAGGTACGTACAGTGTATGTTATCGCGAGAGATATGCTATATATAGTATTTATTGCAAAACCTCTACGATCAATTTTATGGACATAAGTCTAAATGGTAGCTAACCATTTTTTGAGCGAGGAAATTTTTTAAGTTAAAAACAAGAGATTACAATTACAAATAAGTAGAATACAAAAACAGAGTACCCGAAAAAAAAAAACAAAAAAAGCAATGAGAACCTACATATATTGAATTGATATATAATGTTTTGAAAAAGCTGTGCAGAAAGTAATTTTCCTAAAAATTTGGTGCATGAAACTGATTTCTGATTAGAAAACTCAATTCTATCAAAAGCAATAACAATTAACTAAAATAAGCATTCGATCAAATAATCTTCTTTAAGTTTCCGTTTACCGTCTATACTATTTGCCTGGCTGATTATATCTTAAGAGCCGTATTTTGATCGATCTTTTCTATATAACAGAAGTAGAACGATAACGTCCTTTACCCCCCCCCCCCCCCCATAGCTACTAAAAAAATTTTGATTTTAATTTGTCTCGTCATATGTCCCAAAAACATGGAATTTGCACTGCTTTCATCGACTTTTTGTACCCAAAGGGTTAAAGGGTGTACTAATTTAGTGCGTATGTCAGTATGTCTGTCTCTAGGAACGCAAGAATCTCAGAAAGAATAGGAGTAGGAATTGAAATAGGTATGTCAGTCTGCTTATCTCTATGAAAGCAAGGATCTCAGAAAGAATAGTTCAAATAACCAAACTTGTAAATCAAAACAATTGTACCCAAAGGGTTAAATGGTGTACTAGTTTAGCGCGAATGTATGCCAGTCTGTCTGTCTCTATGAATGCAAGGATCTCAGATAGAATAGGAGTTCGAATGACCAAACTTTTATATCAAAACAATTCCCACGATTCCTCAACTCAAGTGTCGGGTCAGGGTATTGTTTAGAAACACTTTTATAAGTATATTCAAAACCCGAAAGAAAGTGTTGAACAATATTCAGCACGCATTTATTATTGGTTGAAATCTGTTCAATTGGGACTGGGATAAGGGTGATAGGGATAAGGCTATGCTTATAACTGGTTAACTATAGCGACTGCATACTGTACCTTTATTTTGACATACCTATGTTGGCGGTGAATGCCTCGATTTCCTTGGGCTTGCGCTTGCGCGGCCTGCCCTTTTGACGCGCCGGCTGCGGCAGTCCGGTGATGACATGCGACGTCGGCACAAAAATGCCAGTAGGAACAATACGGCTTGGGTCCGAGTGCGGACTCGAGGAGTCGTTGTGGGGCGATCCAAACTGTGTGCTGTACGGATATGTGGCACTCATGCTGGACGAGGCAGCATCACCCTCCCGCGCTATGCTGTAGTGGGTTCTTTTGGATTAGATGAGAGGGTTTAGTCTCCATTAGTTGCGTTCAAACTGATAAATAGATTATATATTACGCACCTGCAGTAGATTAAGGCATCGATGATGCCGTACTGATCGCCCTTGGTGAGTGGCGTGTGGCAGACGGTGCAACAGAAGCAGTTGACATGAAAGACCAGGTTGCGTGCTCGCATGACCAGCTCGTTGGAGCTTATTGATGCCAAGCAGCGGGAACAGCGGCGTGTACCAAAAAAACTGAAAGCAGAGCAAAATAATTGAATTAATTCGTAACATTCTCTTTTAAAGATAGATAAAATAGAAATGTATTAAGACTAATGATGAAGCTAGTAACTGATCGTTGATGGCCGTGAACGCTCTTTTTACAGAAAAAAGTGGTCAATTCGGATTGTCAAGTTGGAAAGTAGATTTGTTTTCTTTAGACACCATATACCATCAGCACCATTTTTAGAAAAGTTTGACCATTTCTCGAAAATAACCAAGGCTGGAGTGCCTGATTTAGCTCCGTGTAAATAAGTTGAAAGGACTACTTCGGCGACACTGAATAGCCACGATTAAGGATATTCAAACATAATCAAAAAAGGTACTGACAGACCTTCCAGAAAAGGGGTTTTGGGACTGCTGCGAGGATTGGAAAAAGCCTTGACATATGCATTTGTCCGTTGCATCCAAAAGGGATTTCCTTAAAAGCGATAGAAATTATTTTAATGAATAAATAAAGACTTTGAAAGTTATCCCTCACTAAAAGTCCGGGGAACAAAAAAGCAATAGAAGTACAAAAAACATAATTCCTGCCACACTAATTGACATAACTAGCGGATGACATTTGCTTACACTTGCCTAAATGAATTGGCGATGCAATTTTTAAAAAATTTTGTAAACTGCCAAAAGCGGAAAATTTAAGCCTACGAGAATTTAAAAAAATACATAAGAATAGATAATGGTATTAAATGCTAAAATTTATTATTATATTTTTATTATAAACAGTAGAACTTATTTAACGTTGTTATTTTCTGTTATTAAACTTGGAAAAAAAACCGTCGCTGGTAAATGAGAGTAGGGGAGTTGAAATTTGTTGTTAATGTCTTTTTATAAAATTATAAAATCTTTCAGTGCCTGCCCAAACTTTTAAGCCCAAATATAATTTAGAGCGTGCTGCTGTGAGTCCATATTATCATATCATTGTTATACTTATTTTTAAAGTGCTTTACATATGTAGCTCTTTGAAACTATTATGCTCGTAAGTGCACCCTAAGGGCATGCTTCGTCAATTTGTTTTCGAGGTTGACCCGAGCGAGGCTATAATTATTTGGAATGATAATTTAAAAAGGTGTGTAGGCAGAGGCTAGGCTAAGCCAGCCAAATAATATACTTAGGATGCCTTAACAGTAGCAGACAAAACTAATGGTATGTTAGCTCCCGCACAGGAAACAGCACGCCACTGTCTTCAGTGTTGACCACGGACGTCGATCGCCGTTGAAAATGGAATTGAATCAAGACACAAAATGAGTTGCAACAAACGCCTACTCATCGTCATCAGAGGCTACTGTTTTCTCTTTTGCAAATAGCAGATCAAAGATTGCCTGCCCCTGTTAGTATTCATCAACGGGTTTTGGTTTCGTGCCAAAAATTATGGACTTGCTGCTGTCTTGTCTGTCTCTACCTCTGCCTGACCCTGCACTAAGTTGAACATTTTCCTGCCAATTGTGTGGCAGCAACAGGAGGAGAAATAACGAAAAGAAAAAGGAAATGAAACTTCAAATGCGCAAGACACGCGATTTCTTTGACATTAATCAAAATAATTGGCGCATTTCACTTCAACATCGCTCAACAGACTCATTCTCACATTTTGTCGTCGTCGTCGTCAGCGTCGTCATCATCATCATAAACAGCATCATCATTATCATCATCGTCCTGGTTTGCAAAAATAAGCGACTATAACTGAGACAGCAGCAGCAGCCCCCAAAACAATTCCCTATAAATTTATCATATTCATGAGATACACTGTCTGTCGGCTCGTCTCGAAAAACTGTCGTTGGTGAGTGTTGGGAGTAGGGAAGTCCTCCATTTCGTTGAAAATTATTTGGGATGTGATGCCAAGATTTTTGTCAAAGCTCTTGTCTCACATCTTGTCAAAACACTCTCGACCGTTGCACGCTCTTTCTCTTTTTGCTATGCACACTGCTCCAAAACTGGGCGAAAATCTAAAGAGCTTTGTTCTTTCATAAATCAAACTGTTAAGAATAATTGTAAAGCACGACTTTGTTGTAAATATTAATTTTTGAAATTGTACGCCAAAAATATATATACATATAACTAAGCAGCTGTTGGATACTGAAGATATTATTTAAAACAAGTTCATATTTTTCGATTGATCGATATAAGAAAGAAAGTTTAAATATAGATCCCAAACTTTTCCTGCCATATCAGCTTGTAGTTGATTTCATAAATCAAATTGTTGAGAAAATTTGTAAAGCACGACTTTGTTTTAAATATATATTTTTGAAATTGTATGCTAACAAATATATATAGCTAAGCAGCTGTTGGATACTGAAGATATTATTTAAAACAAGTTCATATTTGTCGATTAATGGATATAGGAAAGAAATTTTAAATATAGATCTCAAACTTTTCTCAATCAAATTAAGAAAATTTATAAAGAACGACTTTGTTTTAAATATTAATTTTTGAAATTGTACGCCAAAAATATATATACATATAACTAAGCAGCTGTTGGATACTGAAGATATTATTTAAAACAAGTTCATATTTTTCGATTGATCGATATAAGAAAGAAAGTTTAAATATAGATCCCAAACTTTTCCTGCCATATCAGCTTGTAGTTGATTTCATAAATCAAATTGTTGAGAAAATTTGTAAAGCACGACTTTGTTTTAAATATATATTTTTGAAATTGTATGCTAACAAATATATATAGCTAAGCAGCTGTTGGATACTGAAGATATTATTTAAAACAAGTTCATATTTGTCGATTAATGGATATAGGAAAGAAATTTTAAATATAGATCTCAAACTTTTCTCAATCAAATTAAGAAAATTTATAAAGAACGACTTTGTTTTAAATATTAATTTTTGAAATTGTATGCCAAAAATATACATAACTAAGCAGCAGTTGGATACTGAAGATATTATTTAAAACAAGTTCATATTTGTCGATTAATGGATATAGGAAAGAAATTTTTAATATAGATTTCAAACTTTTGCAGTCATATCAGTATACAGCTGATTTAAAATGTTACACCGCGGTTATCTCCACTTTGGATTATATAGTTATTATTTGAAAGTATTCTCATTTATCGGTACTATGGATAAGAGTGCCTGACGATATCGCGATAAGTTAAAAATCTTCACTTTGGAAACAATAGAGAACGTACAAAATATGTGATTGATATAAGAGTTCGATTTTGGATAGAGATTTAAAGGTCTGATTGCGTATTTAGCCAGATGGCTGAGTGCTATTCGGCTCCACTGTGGCGTCTTCTACATACATATGTTCCGTACCGGTACCTTTTACCGGCGCACTGTCGCTGCCCCATAAATAATAATAAACATGAATGCAGCGTCAACATCATGCGACGAAGAAGACGAAGAGGATGAGGTTGGCAGTGCGTTCGTTGTCCGTCAGTCCGTCTGTCGGTTTTTCGAGCTGCCGCAATGACGCTGTCTGCTACCAACAACTCATAAAAGTGTTCCAAAACTCCAGACCGTGCAGACGGGAGACCGGGTATGCCTTCATTTTTCGTGGCACTTTATTTCATTGCCCCCCAACAATGCCACGCCTCCTGCGCCTGCGCCCCATCATCAGCACTGAAGTCGCGACTCGGGAGCAAGAGAGAAAAATGAATTATGATTATTGCCATGTAAAAGAGCAGGCGAAATGTCAAAGTGACAACGCCTAATATATGATTATGTTTTCGAGCGCTCGAAATCTGATACTCTCACACAGTCAGGCAGCGGCCAGCGACCACAGCCATGGACTATGGTTGCCAGTCCCGGTCCCGGTCCCGGTCTCGGTCTCAGTGTCAGTCTCAGTCTCTGTCGCAGCTTCAGCTTCAGCTTCAGATTCAGCCTCAACATCAGCTTTGTGATGTGGCATAAGTGTTGCTGATGTTGTTGCTCCGCTATAGCTGTCGCTGTCGCTATTGCTGTTTTGGCTTCTGGCTGTTGCCTCAGCCGCAGTAGTGCGACTATTTCCCACCGCAAATGGCCGCAAGTGTCGCACATCCACAACAACATTCAAAAGCAGCAACAGCAGCAACAACAACATCAACATCAATCCCGACATGGTGGTTAACCGCATCGTTCACACAGTCTGTCCCTTAGACGTGTCCTGCAGCTGCTGTTCGTAGGTGCATTATTAGCGCCTGTACACTCAGAAAAAAACAATAGCAACAACAATCGTTCCAAAAAAAAAGTACAAAACAGTGTCAACCCCATTACAGGTGCGAAAATACTATTCCATGCCTAAAGCTAGACCGATTAAAACACGTTTTGTTTTTTAAATTGAAACAAATATTTTACTTCTGCTACTAAATATTAGAATGTCATTTTCCAAACTCATTTAATATTTTCCACCATTGATAACACAAATTACATATTCTGTCAATTATATATATAAATGTATATATGTATTATTAAAACTTTACACAGCTGTTTTGGAATTTTAGTCGAATTTAGTCTACATTTTACAGTGGGGATTGATACATACTACAAATATATAAACGTATATATTTAAGAAAACCCATGTACGAAAAATTCTTTAAAATATTACATATGAACTAACATCATCCTGTTCAGCAATTTTTTAGTTAATTTGTTTACACCTTGGGCTACATTAGTAGCGTTTTAATAAGGATGCTTATCTATTTCACAAATATAATAAAGCCTGTGTTAACCGGAGATAGTGTAGCTTCCCAACCGTGAAAGAATCCTTTAAATCGGTCTAGTAGTTTCCTATTTAATTCAACGCACGGGAATTCACAAAAATTAAAAAATTATAAATTTTATAACACGCTCACACATAAACACCCTCCTCTTGGATATGAGTTACTAAAAAAAAGATTAAAATTATAAACATAGTTTGAATAGTAATTATTTTAATGATTTTTTGTACTTTTTTAGATTTTTATTTTTTTTGTTATTTATTGGGTCAGAGCTTCTCTGTAAACGATATTTGATGTTGTTATATTTTGTGGCAGCAAAATAAATTTATTTAC